TATTTATACTATAGTCGCACCGGTAGTGACGTCATGGCTGTCGCCGGCCAACGTGTTGTTGGTGTTTTTTCAATGTATGCTTCAGACACGGGTCACGACGAGGCGTTCCCCATAGCGACCCCTAGAGGACGCAGTTCGAAGTTCCCATGAAAGGGAACATTGTATTGTCTTGTCTTAGCCCTTAACATCTTGCTAAAATTAATAAATAAAAAAAATCTTTATTACTTAACATTTACATTCATACATTTAATAATTACTGTAGTGGTCTTGCATTAAGCACCACTTTGTATAATATGTAAATGTTTTTCCCAACTCTGGTCCTAGAGTACCACCAAAAATTCACATTTCAGGTGTCTCCCTCATCTAAGACACATATTTCAGGTCTTGGAGTCGCTACCAATCAAGTTTGGGAAACATTGCTACAGTATATAGTAAGGACGATATGCTAAATGGAATATATCTTTGGGAAATCATTTCAGCTGTGGCTCTGAACAGCTAACATCTGCCTGAACTTTATCCCAAGACTACACTACGAATATGAAGAAAACAAACAATAAACATAGCTTTGATTAGCCAAGCAGCAGGAAGGGTTTTTCATTGATAACGTTTCACTTTTGGCCCTGAGATGGATAAGCAGATGGGACAGGTTATGCATCTCAATCTGGATGTGATGAGCCACTATGTTGAGAATTCTGTGTGTGTGTGTGTGTGTGTGTGTTACCTGTTTAACCTCAGCCTGTAGGTGGCACAGCTGCACACACTGCTCCAGGTGTTTCTGTGTGTGTTCAGCGCTCAAGTCCAGCTCATGCTGTTTCTCATTTAGAAACTCCAACAGCTCCTGAACTTCAGTGGCCAGATCCACCTCCTTCTCACTGGTCAACTCAATACCTGCATATTACACACAAATACACACATTTCACCAGAATCCTTAGCATCTATACTGTCTGAAAGTACATGTGTACTCACGGCCACTGGGTGGCAGCATGGCAACTAGTTCAAATCCAGTGTTCTCGGCAAAACCTCTTGACAAAGGTCAATTCTACAGTTTAGTTTATACATATACATCATTATACAAGAAATATTTGACCACAGAATGCTGCAATTGATCATTCAGAATCAAGTGTACCAGAGAAGGAATGTATCGTCACAGTTAAATGTGCATAACTGCCATACAAGTAAACAAACAAACAAATATGCCATTGTCCAAATATATTCTCAATTTTCTTAATACAATTAATTTATTTTATTTTTTCTCTCTTTCTTTCTCTTTCTTTCAATCTTTCTTTCTTTCTTTCTTTCGATATTGGGGTAAAATATGAATTGGTAATTATTATTATCATTATCATTATTATTATTATTATTATTAATAAGACAGAATATGTTAATTAGTTTTATTTTCATGTAGTTCCCTGAAAGAATAATCCAAATAAATTATTTTGCTAAATTTGATTTCTAATAATTATTTCTTATTAGAATTACAGTTGGGAAGTATAAATAAATAAATAAATACTCATACACAAACATAGTCTCAATTTTCTTATAATAACTTTCTTTGTGTTTTGTTTTGTTTTTCTTAGATATTGGGGTAAAATATGAATTGGTAATTATTAATATTATTAATAAGACAGAATGTGTTAATGAGTTTTATTTTCTTGTAGTTCACTGAAAGAATAATCCAAATAAATTATTTAGCTAAATTTGATTTCTAATAATTATTTCTTATTAGAATTACAGTTGGGAAGTATAAATAAATAAATAAACACTCATACACAAACATAGTCTCAATTTTCTTATAATAACTTTCTTTGTGTTTTGTTTTGTTTTTCTTTAGATATTGGGGTAAAATATGAATTGGTAATTATTATTATCATTATCATTATTATTATTATTATTATTAATAAGACAGAATATGTTAATTAGTTTTATTTTCATGTAGTTCCCTGAAAGAATAATCCAAATAAATTATTTTGCTAAATTTGATTTCTAATAATTATTTCTTATTAGAATTACAGTTGGGAAGTATAAATAAATAAATAAATACTCATACACAAACATAGTCTCAATTTTCTTATAATAACTTTCTTTGTGTTTTGTTTTGTTTTTCTTAGATATTGGGGTAAAATATGAATTGGTAATTATTATTATTATTATTGTTATTAATATTATTATCAATAAGACAGAATATGTTAATGAGTTTTATTTTCTTGTAGTTCACTGAAATAATAATCCAAATAAATTATTTAGCTAAATTTGATTTCTAATAATTATTTCTTATTAGAATTACAGTTGGGAAGTATAAATAAATAAATAAATACTCATACACAAACATAGTCTCAATTTTCTTATAATAACTTTCTTTGTGTTTTGTTTTGTTTTTCTTTAAATATTGGGTTAAAATATGAATGGGTAATTATTATTATTATTATTATTATTATTATTATTATTATTATTATTATTATTATTATTATTATTATTATTATTATTACTATTATTATTAATATTATTAATAAGACAGAATGTGTTAATGAGTTTTATTTTCTTGTAGTTCACTGAAAGAATAATCCAAATAAATTATTTAGCTAAATTTGATTTCTAATAATTATTTCTTATTAGAATTACAGTTGGGAAGTATAAATAAATAAATAAATAAATAAATACTCATACACAAAAATAGTCTCAATTTTCTTATAATAACTTTCTTTGTGTTTTGTTTTGTTTTTCTTTAGATATTGGGGTAAAATATGAATTGGTAATTATTAATATTATTAATAAGACAGAATGTGTTAATGAGTTTTATTTTCTTGTAGTTTACTGAAAGAATAATTCAAATAAATTATTTTGCTAAATTTGATTTCTAATAATTACTTCTTACTAGAACTACAGTTGGAAAGTTTAGTTTAAGTCAGTAGAAATAAGAAAGAAAGAAAGAAAGAAAGAGAATGAATGAATGAATGATATGCATATAGAGCATCTAGTAAAGCTTAATTCAGTGATTGTAAATGTTGTCCCAGCAGCAGAATGAGACACACACAGGCGTGTGAGAGATTGTCACAGCAATGTCTGGAACAGACGGCGTCCAAAGCCTGGACAGAAGACCCATATGTGAGAGAGAGGGGGGTGAGAGTTGGGTCAGCACTTTGAGGAGAGGAAGTCTGTTTCCAGTGTTAAAAATATCTGTGAGACACAGCGCTGGACATTGGGATGATATGAAGATGAAAGCAGAGGGCAAAAGAAATGTGGGTTAAATACAGACACAGTTGAAGAGATGGGTGACATTTGGTCTAACTTCTGTGTAACACAGTTCTTTATATTGAAATGAAAGCTGTGCTGAGCGTCATTAGTGCCGCCCACGTGACTGCGGACCGGAGATCACAGCACAGAGGAGACTGAATCCTATTGGTTCATCTCGCCGTGTTTCTGTGCACTGCCACCTGACACTTCCTCTGTGCGGCTCTCCTCTGTGTCTATATCTCTATCAGATCAAACCCGATCACATGACAGTTCATAAGTACTGTACGAGTGTGTGATTTCGTATGGATTTGGATGATTTGTAGGTAAAACATCACCATGAAGGTCCACCCCTAAACCTAATCCTCAGGAGGTGTGAATGTGTGTAAATGAACGTGCACAATTTCACAACCAATTCACGCAAATGTAAATCCATACAAATTGTCATGAGACTGTGTTGATCAAATCTCTTTACAAAAAGAAGTCTTTGCTCTCCTAACATCTCGCAATGACAAATTCCCATCTGAGAGTTTAGGATGATTTTAAGCCATTTTTAAAATATTTTACACACACACATATATATATATATATATATTGATATTGTGTGATTGTATCATTTAATTTTATGCTTGTGAAGCACTTTGAGTTGCATTTTATGTATGAAAAGTGCTACACAAATAAATGTTTATTATTATTATTATTATTACTACTACTAATCTAATAAAAAAGCAAAAAAAATATCAAAATAATGTATATATATATGGAAGTCATATTGAAAATGTGCAATTTATAATTTTAAAACTTTTGAACTTCTTAAGAATTTATTTTTAAGATTTGCGCTTAGGAAGAAGATTCATACAAACTTCTTGGATTAAGAAATACCTTAACTTTTATCTTAAGAAGATGGTCGTGAATCCAGCCCCTGGTTATTTTTGTGTGCAAAATACATCAGGTGCTCAGTGAACGGACTGTGGGTAAGAACCTGAGAGTACCAATAGTACAACAACTTGCACTATTGAGTTAACGGCTGTCAGTGTGAAAGCACCTATACTCTTTTCACGCTCTCTCACCTGAAGCCTGGACCTCCATGATGTACTGATGCAGGTCTTGACCCTGCTGCATGACCTCGTAGGTCATGTTGTTCATGGCCAGTTTTCTCTCCGCGTGCCGCTGGAGTCTTTGTTCAGCCAGACTGGGTTCTTCTGCGGTGAACTCGCTGACCTGACGAACCAGGTCCTCATTCCACGCGTCTAACTCCGCCGTTACCTGCAGGACAGGAGGGACAGTTTAACACCCGTGCACTGTAAAAAATGAATTTAACGGTAAAAGACTGTAAAAATGCTACAGTAAAAACCTGTTAAATGGTTAACGGTAAATTCCCCTACTATATACGGTGAAAAAATGTATTAGACATTACATGTAATTTTACCGTAGTATACCGTTTTTGGAAGTGAAAAATATGAAAAAGTCAAATCAAATGTGATGTTTTTTTGTTGAAATAACTATGTTTCTTAGTTTTTTTCTTATCAGTTTTGTATATTAGGGTTGTGTGTTACACCTAATGTTGTTAAATGAATGTTAATAGCATTATTTCAGTTTCATGTGTGTTACCATGATGGTGTTGTGTGAGCGATAGAGCTCGTGTGAGGCATCTTATTACTGCTCATCGCTGAATCCCTGTGCGACACACAACTAATGTGTTAAGAGTATGGGTTTGGGTAATCTACAATTCACTTATACTAAAGAAATATGCTGGCTAAAATATAACTTAATGCTTATAAACATCATATATATGACAGTCCGTAAAACACAAAATAATACAGCCTCGTTTTCTTTGGGCCTGAATATAACTTTACACAGATGGCTTTGGTAAATGACTCTGTCACACCAGTATCATGCCAACACGTGTAATGTTTTAGTTGTTATGACTATACTTTCAATACAGTGCATATATTTTAAACACTTATTCATGATGCTGCATGTTTGCAATGTAAGAATAAAATCTAATTTTCTGCCAGGACATAGCTGTTAAGTTTATAGGCGTTTCCATCAACCTTAAAACAAAATACAGAAAATTGCTTCATATTAACAAATTACATTGAGCCATATTTGCCTGTTAGATTTCAATTATAAGCATATTTACTTTACACACTTTCTAGTTATTTAAGGGGCTCAAGGTTTGGCTGGTGAGCACAGTTCACTAAGCTCTTACTGTAACTACAGCATTAAGTAATATTTCTTGACAGCAATTCAACAGCTGCTGCGCATTCTGAGGAATTTTTTTGTAAGCAATATAGAATTCACTAAGATTTCATTTTAGCAGATGTGGTAACACTTTAGAATAGGGAACACACATTCACTATTAACTAAGAGTTTTCCCTCAATAAACACCTAATTTGCTGCTTATTAATAGTTAGTAAGGTAGTTGTTAAAGGGGTCTATGGGGTAGGATTTAGGGATCTAAATTATAGTCATGTAGAATATGTGCTTTATAAATACTAATAAACAGCCAATATGCTCGTAACATGCATGCTAATAAGCAACTAGTTCATAGTGAGAATTGGTCCTTAAAATAAAGTGTTACCGATGACCAGTGCCCGATTTTTTTTGCCCTTTATGGCTCAGGTGCCTCCAGAAATGGACCGGACTACCCATAAATCAAAGATGATGGCATCTGGGTAGCAAGCTTTTTCAAATATATTCAGAAATATTAGTGTGAATGGAAAGTCCCTACAAGTATAGTCACACATCCCTTGCAAAATCTGCTGAATTATTTCTCTTTAATAAAAAGGCCATAAAACTTGGGTTACACTTTATTTTAAGGTGATTACAGAGTAATTACACACTATACGTACTACTATAGGGTTAAGATTAGGGCTAGGGTTTGGTTTAGGGTTAGTCACTTGTAATTATGCATAATTTACTGTTATTGTTATAGTAAGTACATGTAACAAATGTAATTAAGACACCTTAATAAAGTATGAATGAGGCTATTAAACACAGATATATTTACATACATCCAACAATACAAAATATAACTCGATTTACAGATATTTAATTCTGTTTCAAAGTTTGGATCCATTTGGTTCTTAATACTGAGCATGCATTTCCAAGTTTGTAAAAGTTTACGGTAACACTTTATTTCGATAGTCCACTTTAGACGTTCTATTAACAGTAAGTAACTTTGCAACTACATGTCAACTAGCAGTTAGTAGAGTATTAGTAGACTGTCTGCTTAATATCTTCTAACACTTTCTTTGTCAACTTATTCTACTAACCCTAAACCTACCCTAACAGTCTACTCTGAGAATTAGTTGACATGTAGTTGACATATAGTTACAAAGTTACTTAGAATGTCTAAAGTGGACTATCGAAATAAAGTGTAACCAAGTTTACATGTCAACGATACGTAAACATTTGAACAGGATAATTTGTGTAAATTAAGTTATTTTGTCTATTTTGGGAAATATGTAAATACCTGTTATGCAGCCTTTTTGAGATTTTGAAAAGTGTTTGTAAGTGTGTAAACTCATGAGCGAAACTATGTGTGTCTTGATACCTGAGTTGTTGCATAAGGTCTTCTCCCTCTTTAATGACGTTGAGTGTGGCCTCCAGTGTGGCTGTCTGCTGCTGCTGAAACTGTTTGATCAGCTCCTGAACCGAGTCAACCGAATCAGAACAAACTTCTTCTAGAAGCTCCTTCTGCAGGTCCTCCATCCACGTCCACAACTGAAACACACACATATGAACACATGTGCAGACTTTCAGTCACAGTATTTCCTCATGATATTCCTCCTAAATATGACATAATTTCTAAACCTTTCTGCACTTTTACATTTTTATTGAGACATTATTGGTATTTTATTAAGTTGTTTTACTATCAATTTAGGTAACACTTTATTTTAAGGTGTCCTTGTTATGCATGCTACATGTACTTACTATTATAATAACAATTAATTATGCATAATTACATGCAAGTAACCCTAAGCCAAACCCAAATCCTAACCCTAACCAGATAGTAAGTACATGTAGTTAATTAATATTACTCAGTACTTATATGTATAATTACACTGTAACAAGGAAACCTTAAAATAAAGTGTAACCAACATTTATTATGCACAACAGAGCCCAAACCTGACCCATATACAAGCACAGAAACACACTTACTCCTGCAAAGACCTAAAAAAAGTTTCTAAACTTCTCTACAGACTCAGAGATGGAGTGACCTGTCTGCACAGATTATAATGCTCATCTAACAATAATCTGTCCTGAATCCAATATTAGAAAGCAGCCGGAAATATACGCTCTCATTTCTCATGCTGCTTCCATTTTTAACATTTCAGTCTAAAAGATTAAACACTATAGAAATGATACTAGATTCATTAAAAGTCAGAACAAAATTCCCCCCAAACACTGGAGTGCTGGGTGATGTTGTGTTTCTGGGTCAGTAGAGAAAGGTTGCTGGTTCGATCCTTCAGAAATCATTATATTATGCTAATATGGTAATATGGCTAATATGATATGGTGCTCCATTATTATCAATTGTTATTGTTGCTTAACTATTAATAATGTTTCTTATTATTATTATTATTAATGTTGGAGATATTTTTTGCTGAATCCTTGCTTACTTGCCCCCAAATATTTTAATAGTAGTGTATCATGTTTTCCACAAAAAAATAAGCAGTATTTTCAATATTCATAATGATAATTAATGTTTCTTGAGCAGCAAATCAGCATATTATAATGATCTCTGAAGGATCTGAAGGAGTAATGATGCTGAAAATTCAGCTTTGCATCATAAGAATAAATTACATTTTAACAAATATTCAAATAGAAAACAGTTCTTTAAAATTGTAATGTTTCACAATGTTGCTGTTTTTACTGTATTTTTAGTCAAATAAATGGTGCCTTGGTGAGCAAAAAAATAAATTAAAATCACTAGATTTAATTCCAAATAATGTCCAATAGCCGATATGCTATTTGGCTATGCAATTAAATGAACATATGCATTTCAGCAATGTGTATTGTCATTTTTTTTCAGTTTGCAACCATAAAAAAAAAAAAAAAAAATCAATAAAATAATGGAAAAAACCATGCAAACATGGAAAAAATGCAGCCCTTAGATATGAGCAGAAGAGATAATTTGTCTGATCTTACATAAATGAAATGAAAGAACTGTTAAAACGTTGTTAACTGTTATCATCATGATTTGTGTGCATCCTGTTTTCTAACTTCTAACTGTGCCGACTACCAAGAATCAGCAAACTGATGCAGTGAGTCCCACGATCACTGCAAATAAACTTATGCCATCTTTGTGCTGCATTCAAAGTCTCTGTAAACACATCTTCACTCTTCCTTGTGGAGGAATACAAATGTTTTGAATTAATTTTGTGCATAATTAATTAGCTTATGAGAAACAATTCACAGAGCCAATCTTGCTGGTGGATGAAGTTCCTGAACAGGACCAGAGAATATCAGTCACACAGGCATGTTTGATAAACACAGATCCCTCTTTACAGTGTTAACACCTTTGAACAATGAATTGCCATGACCTTTGTGATCACTTGATAAAGACTTCTAAAAATGCTATAGAATTCCCATGAGATTTTAAGAATTTATAATCAATCCCTGACATTCCCAGGTTCTCCATGAGCGTGGGAACATCAGTTCTGCCAGATGCAGAACGAGAGTCTGTAATGATGAATAAGGCGTTTCCAAATCTACAGCGAGGAGGCTGGTCATGTTTAGCTTTAACATGTTGCAGGCATAGAGCAGCTCTACCAGGAGGATGTGATACTCATGATAGATGATTCCCCCAACAGGGGCTTGAGACACACTCAGGAATATTATTCATATGAATCATACACAAGAGCTCTGAACAGTAACACATATGACAAGTTTTACAATACAGGAAAAATCGCCCACATTAGGATAAAGCTAAACACAATGGATACATTAAACCAAACCGCGCAGCAAAGACATACAGATATTCCTTACAGAATTAAACACGGCCTACATGCCACTTCAGGAGCTCATTTCTCTTTACATTAGTTTCAAACACTGTTGACATAGTTACAAAGCACAGTGGTGAATGTGATGTTGCCATCTTTGTGGTTTCCATAATAACTGTATCTGCTTTTAATATTGTCACAATATGAATTATATATTCATATATACAGTATCTCACAGAAGTGAGTACACCCCTCACATTTTTGTAAATATTTTATTATATCTATTCATGTGACAACACTGAAGAAATGACAATTTGCTACACTGTAAAGTAGTGAGGGTACAGCT